GAGAGAGAGAGAGAGAGAGAGAGAGAGAGAGAGAGAGAGAGAGAGAGAGAGAGAGAGAGAGAGAGAAAGAGCGATAGCGACAGCTCGAAAGAGAGAGAGAGAGATAAAAAAAAAATACGACTACGCCACAACCTCAGGACGAGGCACCTTCATTACAGTGCTAATACTTAGGAAACAAAGTTAAATCCCCCCCGCCCCCCCTCTCCTTCTCCTTACCGCCAGCCACAATAAAAGAGAACAAAGGAAATGCTTTCGTGCCTTTGTTTTATGACGTAAGATTCGAGCCCTGAGCCGCGGCCGCTCTTTGCTGAGGTCACATTGCAATTTAACTTGGCTGAGGGTTTGCGCAGGGAATTATCAGAGCACACTTGTGAAGGGCTGCGGGACGGGGAGAGAGGGATGGAGAGAGAGCACAGGCTGCCACTACAAATCATTCTCTGGGTCTCTGCCTCCTTGTAGTGCCGGGGCTGACTGGAGGTATATCGTTACTGTTTTTTCTTTCTTTCTTTCTTTCTTTCTTTCTTTCTTTTTCGTTGTTTTTTATGTCCTTTTTTGTCCTCTCTCTCGCATATCATTTTCAAATCCATGTTGGCGCCGCGGTTTGAAGGTTTAACTACGCTAAACACCCATACTATAAATATTGAAACTACTGCTTTGAAACCTGTTTTCATTTCATCTTCTGATCCGAGGAGCGAAATGAGAAGAAAATATTGACTTGAAAGCAAGGGAGGAATAACGCGGAGTACAAAGGATGCGTGAAAGAGGTCATGACAGGTCACATAAACGAATTGGTGACCAGTACATGGAAAGCGGATATATATGAAGTTAGTGAGGGGAGTAGGTTTAAAGATGAAATAAAAAAAATAAAATCATTGCTGGTTAAAATTCGGGTGCTGACTGATGGGAGAGAAAATTACAAATCTGGGGGTGTGGATGTCTGGTTCATGTCGGTAGCTGATCTATCCACTTGTTGCCCTGATCTACCTATACTGAAACGACCCTCACCGAAATGGTAAACTCTTGTAGGAAAATCCACTTAGTAAACCTATCACGAGATTGGCTGACTAATTACATATAACGCGAGTAACAGGATTAACGAACGTGGTGCGTATTAAGCAAGAGAGAAAAGCGTGAGCTCGAAGGAAGATGGACGAGCGTAAAATTGACAGGATTTCTCAGGCCAAAGAAAGGTTTAGGAAGCGCTGGTCAGGCTGAAAGCAGGATATCGTCTGACGTACAAGGAATAACCCGAGAAGAAAAATGTTTTTATTCTTTACAAAGTTTCCTCCACGACATGGCAAGGGCAATCAAGTAACACGACCCAGCGGTGTAGAAAGTCCACCTTTTCAGACAAGAGAGGACCGACTTCAAAGTAAACAAACGGTGCAGCATTCTGCTTTCTTTGTTTCCTCAGATGGACCCATTTATCGTGGCGGATACGTGCAAACAAATAAATATATTCATATGTAATGTAGAAGTGTCATGGATATTAATCATCATGAATTATGAAAGGGAAACATAGGAAACATCAGTACTCCAATAATTTACGTTTCTGCAACAAGGGAAGGCATAATTTTTACCTTCCCGAAGTGAAAGATTCTTTGTTTTACCTTACCAGACGAATGTTGAACACAAACTATAAATCGGAAAATTTGATTAAAAAAAACAAAAAAACTAAATAAACTGTCTCTTCTCCGTCTCTTTCAGCGTCTTGTCCATCATGATTAGCTAAGTTTGGCACTGCTTATGCCCTGAACACGGTCGTGGGTTAAGCCTTACTCGAACTGAGCCTCTTCTGGAATTAACAAGATGCTGGAAGTTTGTGGTGGTTTACAGGGCTGGAAGAATCAAGTGGCCGGATGTCTATATGTGCACACAAACACACATACACACAAATGGGCGTGGTTGTGTGTGTGTGTGTGTGTGTGTGCTTGTGTATATGTGTAGTTACACACACACACACACACACGCGCACACACACACACACACACACACACACACACACACACACACACACACACACACACACACACACGCGCGCGCGCGCACACACACACACACATACACACATTTGCGTGTATGTGTGTTTGTGCGCACATATAGACATCCGACCACTTGATTCTTCCAGCTCTGTAAACCACCATTAACTTCCAGCATCTTGTTAATTCCAGTGTGTGTGTGTGTGCATATATGTGTGTATATGTATATATATATATATATATATATATATATATATATATATATATATATATATATATATATATACATGTATATATGTATATATATGTATATATATATATATATATATATATATATGTATATATATATATATATATATATGTATATATGTGTGTGTGTGTGTGTGTGTGTGTGTGTGTGTGTGTGTGTGTGTGTGTGTGTGCGTCTGTGTGTGGGGGGTGGGGTGCATTAAAATACATACAGATATATATAAAGTCACACGTGCACACTGACAGACCAAAGCCACGAACTGCTTTCCTAGAAACATATAAAATCCTATGTTGTCGTTCAAGTGGATATGGAGGGGACCTTTAAGCCTTGTTTTCCTCTTCTTGATGCCCCGAAGTTAACGAGAATATTGCTCAGTGAACTTCCAAGAGTTTAAGGTGAAGTAAATTAGAGGGGTCTGCTCTCTCTCTCTCTCTCTCTCTCTCTCTCTCTCTCTCTCTCTCTCTCTCTCTCTCTCTCTCTCTCTCTCTCTCTCTCTCTCTCTCTCTCTCTCTCTCTCTCTATGTTTGTCTGTATGTCACTTTGTCTGTTTCATTCTCTCTTCGTCTCTGTCTGTCTGTATGTCAGTTGCCCTTTCTGTCTGTTTGTCTGAGAATTTCTCTCTGTGTGTCTATATATGTGTTTATCCTTCCTTCCTTCCCTCTCTGATTTAACTATAATCTCATCACTATGTTTCTTATTGTTGTTACTATCATAATTATTATTGTTATAATTATTGTTATAATTACCATTATCATAATAATAGTAATAATAATTATTACAATTATTTTTACTATCATTATCATTATTATTATTATCATTATCATTATTATTATCATCATCATTATTATAATTATCTATATAATTATCCTTATTCTTGTTATTATTTTGTTATCAATATTGTTATTATTGTTATTACTGTTATTATCATGATTATTATTATTATCATTACTATTATTATCATTATTACCACTATCACTGATAACATCATTATTTTACTAAACATATACTACATAAGGCCGGCAAATATCAAGTAAAAGCCGTATTTTCCTCTGGCAAGTGACACCAGTATTTTTTTTTTATTTATTTTTTTTCCCTCGTCAAGAAACTTCGGAATTAAATTTGTTCTCCAACCGGCTTCTTTCCTACATCCGGGACACTCCAATTGATCCCGTCTTCCTCACTCCCTCCTTGCCATCTCTGTCTGTCAGTTAGTCTGTCTGTCTCTCGCTCTTGTTCTCTCTTCGTCTCTGTCTCTTTCTCTGTCTGTCTGTCTCTGTGTGTATGTCTCTCTCTCTCTCTCTCTGTCTGTCTCTCTCGCTCTTTCCCTCTCTTCCTAAATGAGATGAAATATAATGGGTAATTTTGGTAAAATTAACTATATTTGTGTCTACGTCGGTGTCTGTCTGCGGCTTCCTTTATCTCTAAATTTCTGTTAACATTTCCCTCGTTCTTTCTATCCCTCCTTTTATCCTTTGTATTACTATTATTTTCTTTCCCTCCTCTATTACTTCTACGTTTCTCTTCTGAAATCTTTTCTATACACATATCAAAACTTTTTAAGGAACTTTTTAAAAATTAATTTACA